TTTTTTTTAAGTACTGGGAGCTGGGGCAGCCATGAGGGGGCTGGGGAAGCAGGCGGGTGTTAGGGGGGCTGGCAGGGGTCCCCCCATAGTCCCCTCCTAGCTCCCCACCTCCCCTTCCCCTACTACTTACCAGCTCAGAGGCACTGTCTGAATCAAAGCTCTCCAAATCCTTTCCGAAGATTCGGACAGCATTGAATCGATTTGGACCTTTAAATTGGTCCCCTGATTCAATTCGGATTCGGAGATTTGGCCACTAAATCAAGCTGCCTATCACCCATCCTGCCTATTTAAACCAAAGGGCAACAATCTTTCTATCACCCTTCTATCAACCTTTCAGTCAGTGTATGCACTACCATGCTGATAAGTAGGTAGGGTGACAGCATAATGGAGAATAAGTGGATGGTGTCACTACAGTTCATTAAGTCCTTAAGCAAGTCAGAACATCTATGGTGTTATCAAAGTTGTATCTGAATGTATTAACATGTTCATCTCCATCAATTACTCAGGATGGCTGCCAGGATAAGAAGCATGGCAGCTATCTTACAGTATCTCCATCCTTCCCCTCCATTCCAGCAGAGGAAATCAGCTTCCCTGTTTAAGATATACACTCCAACTCTGATTCTGAGGGGAAAGGTACATGTGATATTTGAGTAAATATGTCCAGCTCTCCCACTGAGTGCTATTCTAATCTCCTGACAGTTTATTTGTATATAGTTATATTAAGAAGTTGCATTCATAAGCAGATTCATGTTGGCTCAAACACAGGATTTGCTGGTCACAATGGTGAAAGAATTAGTATGAGCACTTCATACAGTTTTCAAAAGTCTGAAGTATCTAAAATCTATTCAACTTACCAATTACGGTCAGCGCAGTGCATTAAAAGACTGCATCACCATTGGCATTGCATTTACTATAGATAACCAATGCCTAGAAAATGGTGTTTAGAGGTTTATTTTGGGGAATTAATTTTAAGGTAAATATATATGTATTAGAATAATGGCCCAGGGTGGCAGCAAATATTAACTGATTTCTAAAGCCTTGGTGTCACAGTCCTCACAGCCTTTAAGGAAAACTGGCTGTCTAACACAACAAGACTAACGTACATACACATAGCCTCGGAAATTGTGGGCGTATACCATGCTGTTCCATAACCTGAGATAAGTGGCACCAGCTTACAAGGCCCAAGAGTTGGGGGCCTGAGAGCTCCAGTTTGTGGGGAGCAGACCAAATTAGGAAAAGACCCGGAAAGCCCAAATTAGGATGCGTGCATGTGATGGGCTTGTGAAACAAAGGAATATGCTGATAGGACAGAAAGCAGACAGTATGACAACCACAGAAAGACCAAAAAGTGATAACCATGGATTAAGAGTCATCAGGAGGTAAAATGTATACAAAAGGAGAACAGAGACTTTAGAGTAACAAAGGGTCCCCGTCCCAAAGAGGGGAACCCAAGGCACCATAGACAGAGAGCATACCACCAGCCTGTATCATTCACCCCTCTGTATGTGGGGTGGTGAGCCTCAGCCTCCAACCTCCAGACTCCTGATATCTGACATTCAAGAGAAAATCTCAGAGTTAATCTCACGTCCTGGCCAGATGTATCTTGACTCTGACGACAGCCCTAGGATTGGTACCTATAGAATTGCTTGTATTATTCCTTTCTCTTATCACTGTGCATCAATAAATTTGCCTATTATTGAATGGAAAGGTCGTGGTCAGTCTGAGGGTTTTGGGTCCCTGCAGAACAAGGCATCTGAGTCCTAAATCCAGTGCCAACAATAACCTTTCTACTTTTTCTAACATATATGTATAGTTCACACCCCTGAATTAAAAGTGGTTTCTACTGACCTTATGGAATCGGAATCCAGGAAACAGTGAGCAGCAGATATCAGCCATCTATTTGAAATAACAGATGCACCACAAATATGGCCATAAGTTCCCATCTGTAAGCTTGCTTGCCATGGCCACTTTCCAGACCTTGCATCCTCACCTCCCACAATTCTATTTTTTTTAAACTGACTCCTTCCACAGGCTAATAAAAAAAAAGGTGGATTAAGAAATGCTCAACACACTGGGCTCTTTTACATTGTTATTTTGTTTGTTTGTTTTTAATATTTAGCTCTTACACTTATAATTTTTCATATGAAATACAAAAGTGCTTCCAAAAAGTAATCAGGAATACAGGTTGTAGCCATGTTGGTCTATAGGCAAAAGCAATCAGAACTCATGGTAGATGTGGCATCTCTTATTAGACTAACTAGATAGTTGCAAAAAATAAAGAAATAAAAAAAAAATAAAGAAAATGTTTTGCAACTTTCTAATAAAACCAAAGCTCCCTAAGCTGTACTCAACCAAAGTAATGGTATTTACTCCCATTTTTCCACAGAGGTTACTGAGGAAGTGACTGACACAAGGCCATACTATAAGCAGCGTTGAAAACAGAATCATAGTCTTTGGATCCTAAGTCCAGTGTTCTAGCCACTGGATCAACTGTTAAAGCAGCTAAGAATTAAAGGGACACACAGAATTATAGGGCAGCTATACATGAGCAGTGAAGCTATTCTGTCTCTCTGTAATTACAGAACATTGGAGCAGGCTTGATTAATCAAGTCTGCTGGAGCATGGTAATTACTGCATGTGACAGGGGAAAGTCACAAGGCTGCCCACAATGGTGACATGCCCCATCTCACCTATCACAACTTGATGCATAAAAGAAAGATGTAATAATGCGGGAGGTTGCCCATTTTATAGCCCAATACCTAAGGCATTATATACAGCTCTGACCTTCCCTATATCATGTCCCATACCTTGCAGATGGCATCCAAAATCATCCAACTTCTCCCGGCTACATTGCTGAGCTGCACCACTTACCCTCAGGCATTCGTAGACTTCCCTTGGTCATTACACCCCCTCCCTGGGACCTCCACTCATGCCCCTTCACTGGGACCTAAACCCACACTCCCTCACTGAGGCTCACTCAAACTACTGAGGCCATCCTATGCTCAGGGCCTGAAGGACTGGGGTCACTCCTCCGCCCCCTCACTGGGGCCTCAGGGCCTATGCCCCTCATGTCCCAGGCCTGATGATAATGCCTGGACCCATGCCTGTCCATACTCTAGGGTTACCCACCAGGTTGTGGGGGCTGTGACTATAAGGTGCCCCATACTTGCCTTTCACCATGGAGGCAACTAGTGTGGCATTTCCTGAGGACCACCTTGCCACAGGCACCCCACCACATCATTCTACCCTAACAGGATGTAATTTTAGGTCACGCAACAGGACTAGGAGTCTCTACCATCCCCATAGCTCCTGTTCTGTACCTCCAAGATATTATGTGAGCAGCAGCTCCAGCCAGGCAATATTCCCCCTCCAGCTGCTTGCAGCAAACTGCTGGCCCTAATGCTCAAAGCCTGCTCTTATATCTACCAGCTGGTCTCACTTCCCAATCAGGCAGCCCCCTGTTGGCCATATGACTCCTGATTGGGAGTGCAGCCACCTGCAGGCTGCTTTGTTGTTTATTATAGCCCTTAAAGTGGCAGGCATCAAAGGTGCCCTGCCACACTGCACTCCAGCAGATTCCAGTGTCTCATGTATCAGCATCCCCATGCTTAAAAATGGTGGCAGGGATGCTTTAACTAAAGCTCATCAAATGAGATTTAGTTAAAGCACCCATCATCATTTGTAAGCATGGGGACACTGATGCACGAGATGCTCCAGACACTTTAAGTAGAGCAGCTCCCAGAGCCACTCTAATTAACATCCTCCCACACTCCCACTCCTGGAAACGTGTCTAAACTCCAATAGTAATTACACCTGGGGTGGACCCTCAGGAAGTTATCTAAACCAACTCTCTGTTCAAGGTGGGATCATTACTGTCTAAACCAACCTTGAGAACAATGGGCACAAATTGATGGAGTGTAGATTTAGGTTGAACATTAGAAAAAACTTCTTCACACTAAGGTTTGCCAGAATCTGGAATGGGCTTCCAAGGGAAGTGGTGCTCTCCCCTACCCTGGGGGTCTTCAAGAGGAGACAGGACAAGCACCTAGCTAGGGTCATTTGACCCCAAAGTTCTTTCCTTCCCAGGGCAGGGATTTTTTTTGTTGGGGGGGG